TGTGGACCCAGCTACTTGGGAGGCTGAGGCAGGAGACTTGCTTGAGCCCAGGAGTTGGAGGTTGCTGTGAGCTGTGATGCCACAGCACTCTACCTAGGGGGGCAGCTTGAGGCTTTGTCTCAAAAAAAAAGAAGTCAGAGTTATAGCTATTAAAGGTATTCTTTTATTCAGCAGATATTAAGCAACTACTTGTGGGGAGAAGGAGCTTGGCACTGGTGGGTGATAGTGGGAATAAAGGTAGATACTGTCACATCCCTAAAGGGCTCAGTGTCTTAATCAAATCAGACAGATCAAGGCAAAACCACATCTACAGTGTTAGGAAATAGAGAACATAAGGCTAAGAAAGCCCAGCATATAGAACTGATTAAACATAGAGGAGGGGTGTGCTCCCAGGAGGTTTCCCCTAAGCAAGTGACCTTTGGGCTGAGATTGCAAGGCTCCTCAGATTTCTATAGTCCTCCACTGAATGGAACAGATCAGGATCTAATAGGCTCAAGGAAAGGGGGTGCTGGGCAAAGCAGCCACAGAGGATAGGTCCCTAACCAGAGAAGACAGGATGTTCCTAAGAAACAAAGTGGCTCGGTCTAGCTGAGACCCTTCAAGAAATGGGGAAGACTAATAGGAAGCTGGAGAGATGGGCAGGAGCTGGGCCCCGAATTGCCTTGATAGCTAAGCTAAGGAGCTCCACCTTATCTGACAGTGGGTAACCAATGCAATATATTAAGCAGGAATATAAAACTTTGGCCCAGGCTCGGTGCCTGTGGCTCAAGTGGGTAAGGCTACATACACCTAAGGTGGCAGGTTTGAATCCAGCCCGGGCCCGCCAAACAACGATAGCTGCAACCAAAAAATAGCTGGGCATTGTGGCGGGTGCCTGTGGTCCCAGCTACTTGGGAGGCTGAGGCAGGAAGACTCGCTTGAGCCCAGGAGTTGGAGGTTGCTGTGAGCTGTGATGTCATGGCACTCTACCCAGGGGGATAGCTTGAGGCTCTGTCTCAAAAAAA